GAAAGCAAAACCTATAAATAAAGCAAGTGAGAGCAGTCAGAGCACTATAAGCACAAAGGCAACCACAATAGTAAACAAGAGCACACTGTAAACCGGAGCTTGAAGAAAAACAAAACATCCAAATCAAAATTTTGGCTATTGTTTAGGACTACTGTTCACAATAAATGGCTGAGGATATTCAAAATTTACTACTCCAGTATGCTAGATTCAGCCAGTTAACCACCTGGGCTATGCCAAATAACTTGAGACTCAACTATTGACCAAAACACAAAACAATGGCGCCTAAAATTCCATAATCCTAATGGGTTATTCATCTGCAAATTTAAATACAAACACCAAGGGTCAAGGGAAGATGTTAAATTTGTAATTACCTTTCTTGCTTGGCCTAAACCTTTTGGAAGAAGATCATTAATAATAGCTTGCCAAATTCTCTGTCCTCTGAAATAAAGCAATGTTGTCTGCATTGCATTTCACACAAAAAGGTCATTCTTTTAAAAGTGAGCACAGAATGCAGTTAGAAGTCACATACTCAGTGTATTGCCATTATCCCAAGTGTTACTCCAAATGCAAATGTAAATGGGCTTAAGACGAGAACAAACAAATTTACTGCTCTAATATATTATGCCACAACTTGCAGTCAATCTTGAGCAAAAATTGGACCAAGAAGAGAGAAGAGTATCTTGAGACGGCAAACATTTTTAATAATCTGACCACAATTTTGTTGTACTCTATCTTAAAAAATGTGAGCCAAAGAATACAGTGTATTTGGAACTATAATAGTGCAAGAGCTACCCCACATGTAAGGATGGCACAAAAATAAATAAATATTCAAAGGCTAGTTTACCCCATTATCAAACTTAGTATCTCCAGCAAATGATGCTCCATCACAATATCTGAGCTTCACTCTATTCCAATTATAAAAATCTGCATGCATGGTTTAATCATTACTCTGTAGTGTACTAAGAAAATTTCTACAAACAAAAACCTATCTTTAGAGTACCATCTTATACTTCAAAAAGTTCTTGAAACAAGAAAAAAAGATTTAGTTAGAGAAGAAGGGACCCGGCCCGTTAATTTCAAAACAAACTTTGTCCTGTTGCAATATACCTATATCACACTATTCCATACATTGCTGGAATTTGCACAATGACCGGATTCGGGTCTAGCTTGAATAGTCTCAAACTCAAGTCAAGCTTAACTTTCCCATTTTTTGAATCCAGTTGAACCTTGAGCTTTAACTAATCAAACTTAACTTAGCTCGATTACATCCTTACTCTGAACTAAATGTTTAATGTTAAATGCACATCAAATTTTCAATGATATAGTCTTCTAAATTAAATCTAACAAATAATTGCTATGTAATTGTCGATGATTGTGGGTGGAGCAATGGTCATACCAGGGTTTCGAGAGGCGTTGTTGCTGAGAATGCCGGAAAAGACAGCCAGCTTGTTCATAAAAGTGGTGGATCCCCGCCTAGTTTTAGATCTCTCCAAACATGATTTGATGCTGTTGCACCACCCACCACCCTATTGACAAAGCAAACACAGAAATTAAATTTTACTCATGTGTACATAAACCTAGATATCATTTTTCAAAAAAAAAAAAAAAAAAAAAAAAAAAAAACCTAGATATCATAATATATTGAAATATTGAGATTTCACAACTTTTGATTTTCTAAAATATAGAACTTACAAGTAAAATTTAAAAAATCGTATGATTTTAAAAATGGCATTGCTACCTTTAGATCAGTATGCGTAACAGATACTGATCCATAGTTACCTCAAACTGCAAAAGCCAATTCTGAGCTCCGGCGCCGAATCCTCTGTGGAGGTGATACGCCGGCAAACTTCCGTCCAAGCAATCTAACCGACATAGCGCAAAAACACATATGAACAAAAAACGACGTAGCACTTTGGGGAAACGATTTACTGTAGTGCTAAAGATTGGAATGAAAGAAATACAAATTGAATAATCGTCGAAAGTGTAACGGAGTAGTACATACAAGCTTCAGAAACCGGAGCGTTTCGAACCAGCGTCCTGTCCACCAGAAGCCGGTCCTCCGTCACCGCCGCCGAGTAAATGCACCACGGCGTGGACGTTAGCAGAATCAAGCCATACACCACTATCGCCGCATTCACATCCATTATTATATTATTTCAGACCCTTCCGCTATCACCGATCCACGCTATGACGAAAGGCATTCTGTTCTTACCTCCTAGACGTTGAAGCTGAAAGTTTGAAATCATTAGGAAAAGAATCTGTAAATTTGCAGAAAGGATGAGTGGAGGAGAACTATTTCCGGAGAGGAAAAGAGTGAAGAGATGGAGAGCCATTTCCTGAGGAAACCTTGCGGGAGAGGAGAAACATAGAATATACTCCGTCATAAATATTCAATAAATTTTCAAATGCAACGGGCGCGTATTAAACTCACACTTTCCAATTCGAGTAAAAACTTGCTACAAAAATGGATAAAGAAATTCTTCTTGGACGCAACCCAATCAAGTTGTGAAATAATTAGTTTAATAATTATAAAATTTTAGTTTAATTTTATGTAAAAAGTGTTTTTTTTTTTAAGGAATGAAAAGTGTTTATTAATTTTTTTGATTTGAAAATGATTTAACATGATTATTTTTTGACCAAATAAATCATTTTTAAAGTCACGTGGCAACTCTATATTAATTTGTGCATTTAACATCTTATTTAGAGTTACAAGTATAAAAGCCATTAATTTTATGAGAGTTATTGATACTTTTAATCCCTTGATTATTATTCAATTTATATATTTGATATTGTTATAAATGGTATTAAGTGGACATTATTATAATGATTATAACGTTTGTAATAGTCAACATTATTATTGTTATTAATACTAGTATTTTCGCCCGTGCGATGCACGGAATGAATTTGTTATAATATATTAAAAATATTTGGATTGATATATAATTATTTAAATTAAAACATCAAATATTATATAGTGCAATTGAATATGTGATTTGGATAGTTTATGTGTTTTGATGTTATCATTGTTTTAATTTGAGCAAATAATTGTTCAAATTAATAATTAATGTGTAGATGTAAGCATGCGGTGCTGTAACTTTGGAGATTTTATTTATCATTGTTAGTATTTTTTATAAATTAGGCAAATGTGTTCGTTCTCTAGCAACTTAGTTATAAGAATGAATTGATATCCTAATTCATTTGTATGGAAACTATATTTTTTTTGAAATAAAAAAATATAGTAATTTTGCCATTTAAAAAACACAATATCACTGAATGTATTCACACATTATTGAAACCTCTTTGTAGACAACATTAGTAGTAGCAACACAATCTTGTCCATCTTCGTCTAAAGCTAACGAGGCAATCAATACAATATATGAGTTTACAAATATCATGTACTATTTTCTTCAACTAGGTTTTTTTCCACGTGGTTTTCCTAGTGAAGTTTTTAGCGAGGCATGAATGTATTTGAATATACCATCGATATACCTTGTATTATTTTCTTGTTTAGATTTTTTCCCACAGATTTTCCTAACAAGTTTTTAACGATAGGGTCGTGGCCAAATAATGTCCAATGGAATTGTTATAAATGATATTAAGTGGACATTATTGTAATGGTTATAACGTTTGTAACCGTCATTATTATTATTATTATTATTATTATTATTATTATTATTATTATTATTATTATTATTACTAGTATATTATATATATGTTGTATCCCCTCTTGTACTATGGATGCTAAATGAAATGGAGATTACCCCTACACTATTGTCTATCATTCTCCCTTCTCTCTTTACATCTTTCATGCAATGTTAATCAGTTCATCGATTAGGAGCTAAACGGACCAACAGGCATAACAAACAACTTACAACAGATCTTAAATTATTAATTTTTATCATATTTGGTGTATAATTATGTTTTCCCCCCACATTTAATCCTACCTCAAATAATTATTCATCAAAACATGTAATTTTTCTCTAGTTAAGATTGCTTCAAGGACAAATAGTCCATTTAAATCTTCACAATTCACACACATCAAAATAATAAGATTTATTTAAAATTTTAACTATAAGTGCGTCTCCAATGCCATAAAAAGATAAGGGAAAGAGGGAAGAAAAGTTGTGAAGAAGGAAGACGGGGAGAAAACTTTCTCTAGAGAAAGCTAAAAGATGCGCCTAGTCCACCACGCCAATCATATGGCATGTGCTGGCCACACGCCATTTTGACACGCAAAGGATGGGACAAATTTGCACCAAATTTTACATCAAAGATAATATTCTTTAGATATTCCTACACCAAAATTTTTAATTTCAACCCATTACACCAAAATATATTCATACACTAAAATAATTCGTATTTTTATAATTTAAAATTTTATTTTTTTACTTTAAATTTTTAATATAAAATAAAATTTTAATATAAATAATAATATTTTAAAATGAAATTTATGTTTGAATGTATTTTAATTTTTAATTAATTAATATTTAATATTGATCTCGTTTTAAACGTAAATCTTTAAATCTTTAAATTTATTTTTTAATAATATAAACTTTTCAAAAGAAACAATTTACAAATTTTTTGTTATTTTAATATTATTTTATCATTATATTTATAATATAATATGAAAGTGAGAGAGTGTTGTAGGGATGTAAAGAAAATAGTTGAAAAATTGTCAATTTGATGATGTGAAAGTGAGACTCATTTTTTAAAGTGAAAGAGTATTGCACGGATAGTCTAACATTATTCATTTACATCATTTTGGCATAGAATTTGGTGTCTTCCTTGAAAGAAGGTTACACCAAACTTTTACATCAAAATGATGTTTTGGTGTCATTTTTGGAGATGCCCAGAAATAATAGTTGCTTTAGTTGCATAGCATATTACCAAAGAAAAAAAATTATATTAGAAATAACAAAATTTAATTGATTGTTTTAAAATTGATACACATTGCAAAATGGTATCACCTTCAAGCACATACATATTGTCCACAATTGGAAAGATCAAAGATGAACCCAACACTCAAATGGCTGCTCTTATTCATTGATAAAAACCAATCAATATAGAAATGTGTGTAATGATTAATGTTAGATCGACTATGAATGTGAGTAGTGTATTTCTTGTAATCTTCTCCTCCTTTGTGTAAGATGAGAGTATATATCAAGAAACCAAAACTGTATACTATCTACTACATCAGTGTCTTCTGATCTAGATGTATTTATGTTAATTAGCCAATGATATTATGGCAAGTAGAATCACAGGGATATGCACAATCAACCTCCTTGCTTACTCTTCTGCTAAAGTACCAGTCCCCAATTGCCTCTGCAATAGTCTGGAAAAAATTTAAAAAATAAAAAATAAAAATCTATAGTTGGTAGGCAGATTAAGGGTTCAATAACTTAAGTTCAGTTTTGTTTTCTGTGAGGAAGCAAGAGAGGAATTAAAGGATATAGTATATGAACCTTGTTGCGTATTCGGGGAGAATCAACAGCAAACCAAGTATCTTGAGTCTCACTTTGACAATGAGCAAAACATGAATTTATATACATTCCATCCCTTCTCGAGTAGTAATAGAAAACTCTGAGAGCTGCAAGCATGTCTCTTCTAAACCCTGTGGACCATTGTAAATGATGACTCTGAAAAGTTAGGAATTCAAAGACTGGAGGAAAAGATGAAAAGAAGGCAGTGAACCTTGAAGAGTTCTAAGCTGTAATGGAGTGCAGGCTGCTGGGTTGAGTTTGCAGTGGTTCCAATGTCCTCGAGGATCAGCAGAAGGTGGAACCAGTATGTGATGAAACTGCACCAAATGCATTAGTTTTATCATCATTGTTGAGCATATAATATATATATAAATATAAATGTTCAATCCAATTATCAGTTTAGACTTTTAGTTGATATGGAACACATGCTTCAATTATCATGACGGCTTCTATCAGTTCTATGTCACAAGCACCTTAGCCTAGATATCATCAAACAAATGGAAACAATCCGGGATGAGGATATTACTTGGTACACATCATATGCAGAGTTTAAGATGAAAAACGGAGTTTGGATGTATGGTAATGCATACTGTGGGAAGATGCACTGCATGAAGAAAATATGAAATTGTCAGCACAGAGTTCATCTTATGCCAAGTTTATTACAGCAAATTAAAGCTTATTGTACCAGTTGAGGATGTAAAAGAGAATCAGTGCAATTTTTGTTGAGAGTGTGTCCTGCTCCCTGTCAAACAATGATCTCATGAGTGAGAAAGCATACCTGAATATGGTTCCAAAATTCTCAATGAGCAGAAGACTTACGTGTAGGAAAAGCATGTTCTGGTAGAAAGATCTCATGGTGTAGTTTAGACTCACATCTCTCCTGAAAATGACAGAGACTGTCATTAAATGAAGCATGAAAAAGAAATCAAATGTTTTAATTCCAAATGTTATGGAATATATATATATATAATATATGGAATCTCTATAGATTAGTAGTCTTAAGGATTTAGGTAGGTAGGCATATGAAAACTTGTTTCCTATTCGAAGTCTTCTAGCCTGTATTTATAGGGCTTTGTATTCTCTTTTCAATACGACAACATATTCAAAAATCTTCTCTTTACATTCGTAAAACCAAATAAGCAGAAAGCATACTCATCTAGGAAGAACCCAGCATCACTCAAGCATTTAACACTGGTGTTCTTGGGCAGATAACTAGTGAAGTTGTCACAGTGCAGAAAAGTTGACAGACCACCAGCTGAGCAGCCAGAAAGCAAAGCCTATAAATAAAGCCAGTGAGAGCACTATACCCACAAAGGCAACCGCATAATATATCTAAGTATAAAATGCAGATGCAACAGCAGCATACAACTCAACACAAGGAGTAAACAAAAGCACACATTAAACTGGAACTTGAAGAAAAACAAAACATCCAATTCACAATTTGGCTGTTATTTAGGACTACTATTCATGGTGAGTGGCCGAAGATATTCAAAATTTAATATTCCAGTATGCTAGATTCACAAGGTCTGACAAGACACTCAAGCCAGTTAACCACTCAGACTATGCCAAATAACTCGAGACTCAACTATTGACCAAAATGCAAAACAATAGCTATGGGTTACTAATCTGCAAATTTAAATACAAGTACCAAGGGAAGATATTAAATTCATAGTTACCAATAAAAGTACCAATGGAAGACATTACATTAATAGTTACCTTTCTCGCATGGCCTAAACCTTTTGGAAGGAGATCATGTATAATAGCTTGCCAAATTCTCTGTCCTCTGAAATAAAGCAATATTGTCTGCATTTCATTTCACATAAAAAGATCATTCTTTTAAAAGTGAGCACAGAGTGCAGTTAAGTTAAATACTCCAGTGTCATTTCCATTATCCTAATTCTTATTCCAAATGGAATAAAAAAATTAATACCTTAATATACACCTTGCAGTCAATCTTGAGCAAAAATCGGGATAAAAAGAGAGGAGTATCTTGGGGTGGTAAACATCTTTAAGAATCTGACTCGTAAAATATCCATATGTTCTTAATTTGCAATATTTTCTTTAAACTGAAGTTATTATTGGAAGAGCATCAAAGTAAAAAATGGTCATTTTTGCTGCAATAAGTCATTGAGGAAAATTGGCTACTGAATCTCAAGACTCTGAATTGTGATAGGGACCATGATGTCATATTGGATTGATATCCAACCCACAGCTAGAAATTATACAAGAAAATTATGAAAAAGTCAAGATATTTATAATTTATGTAGTTCAGCTTTGCCTGATCCAGAAAGAACACAGAAATAATAAATTTGACTACCTAAGTGACAATTGTATAAATACAATAAAGAGAATACTGTATAAGCTTCTATTCTACAACTCCACACCTCTCTATTTTGACGGTCTTCAAATAATTCATAAATACAACAGAGAATACCACTGTGAAAGATACACCAGGAAACGCCCTTGGATTTAAACTCCCCCTTTTACTTCACTCTCACACTTTATTTAAGAAGGCATGAAACATACTTCACAAATTGACCATAATTTAGATGTACTCATCTCAAGGTTTATGAACCAAAGCAAAACTAGTCATCTACATTTGGGTTAATATCTATAATATATGGGTTGTTCATAAAGTTTCATAAGATTCTTAAGCATGATGAAGCAAATCAGTTTTTTTACTGCTTAATTTAACAGTTTGGCAGCGTTATAAAATGAAATCAACTAGGCAAGATCCATACTCAGTAGGGCTCACAATGCACAGCTGTACTAGTGCCTATTACATGTTAAAGACTCTTGAAATTAAGCTAACTTTCTCTCTCTCTCTCTCTCTTGCACATGCACTTGATTAAGTACAGATATGTTCTATCTGGAAACTATGTGAGCCATTGATCTTAGAAATTCAAGAAGTATAAAAATACAATGTATTTGGAACTATAATAGTGCAAGAGCTACCACATGTGAGGATGGCAAAAAACTAAATAAAGAAATATTCAAAGGCTAACTTACCCCATTATCAAATTTAGAATCTCCAGCAAATGATGCTCCATCACAATATCTGATCTTCACCCTATTCCAATTATAAAAATCTGTATACATGGTTTAATGATAAGTTCACAGTGTACCAAGAAAATTCCTACAAAAACTATCTTTAGGGTACCACCTTATACTTAAAAGTTCTTGAAACAAAAGAAAAAGAAACTAATGTGTAAACCCTTTTGAATTCTTAATATGGCTATTTCATGTTACATTACTAGAACACTAGTTCCAATGGGTTCCATTACCAGGTTCTTGCATTATTATAGGAGTCGGTGCCATAGTTACCAATGAGCATTCAAATATGTCTAGCATTTATTTAGGACAAATGGACAATATCGTATGAGCACGAGATACGAGGGTATCTTTGTCCTTTAAACAAATATGAGTATATGACTGACAAGTTGGACTGGCGGGAGAAAGGAAATGCACAGTGATTGGCTATTGTAGGTGCAAGCTGGAAACATATAATTTTTGAATGCTAGAAACATATAATTAAAACTAAAGCAAAATAAAAGCACTGCAGCTTTAATTTATCGGCCTCAATTATTTAATCATGTGAAAGGGAAACATGCTAGGCTATGCAATATGGATTTTGTCTTGCAAAGCGCACTACATATCGAGTACCATCCTCCTTATAATACTGCTTTTGACTTTGCCAAATTCCCCATCGCAACTATTTATCTATCTGTTTTCGGTTTTCCACTATAACATTGCACGGAGTACTCAATTACTCCCTCTGCCATATTTGTCGAGCTTTCAAAACTAGCTTTAGCATAAATTACTGTAACATTTTACTTATGTATCTATGATGCAATATTACGGAGTATTAACTAAATCAACCACAAGATTAATATAATATAAAATGAAAGAATGTTCAGTTATTGTCATGGGTAGTTTCTGTATTCAAGACACGCTCAAAATTTGATCTATTGATTTTTTAAATGTGGTCGAGTTTTGAGTTTTTATTGTTGAGACTTGGTTTGATTATACCATCACTCTTCAATATGTGTCCAATGTTAAATGCTTATCAATTTTTCAATGATATAGTCATGTAAATTAAATCTAACAAATAATTACTCTGCAATCGTTAATGACTGTGGGTGGAGCAATGGTCATACCTGGGTTTAGAGAGGCGTTGTTGCTGAGAATGCCGGAAAAGACCTCCCACTTGGTCATAAAATTCGTTGATCCACGCTTAGTTGTTGATCTGTCCAAACATGATTTGATGTCGTTGCACCACCCACCACCCTGTTGTCAAAGCAAAGAGAAATTAAAAGTTATTCAATGACAAGCTTCATTAATAATCCAATTATTTTACTCGTACCACATAACCACTTTGATATGCAGCCAAACTCAAATCAATGAGAATGTACAATATCAATTAATGGTTCAGTTGTTTTGTAGCCTAATTAATTTTTTCTCACATGTACTCTGTGTTTTTTTCCCAGCATAGGTCCACTGGGGACTGGGACAGCTTTTAGTCCAAGTTTTACTTGTTCTTTTAAAGCATACCATATGACTATGCAGGCTCTTGTCAATTGTTGCGGCCCTAACTCCATTTTTTTTTTTTTGGCACATCTAGTAAAGATTGGGATTTAGGATGAAATTTGAACTACATCGCCCTGAAAAATATGATCAAGTAGGTAGAACATAATTTTTATTATACTTGAAAACAATAAGTTCAATTCTTACTAATATTCTCTTGATCAAGTCACATAGTCTTCTTAGTATTGTTTACTTTTATGGCATAATTTGTAAATTATTACACAAGAACCGTAAGTGAAAGTAGATTCTTCTCGTCAATAAAAAATAAAAAATTGTAGCACATAATTTATTATTCTAAATTACAGAATAAAATAAAATTTGAACCTCAAAGTGTTATATTTTTTATAGGACATGTATGCAAACACCTCCCAACTATATTCATATAATTGATTTGAGATATAACAAATGTAATTAAAAATTTGCGCATATATATATATATATATATATATATATATATATATATATATATATATATATATATATCAAAATAATGAGATTTCAAACTTGAAAAATAATAGAATGCAAAATAAATAAATGCAGTTCACGTTTCACAAGCATGTTGTTTTCTAGAACAGTTCAGCCAACTGCCCTGTAAGGACAGTGACTTGAGCCAAACTTTGAGACGTAACCTTATTGGATAAGCACAGCCATGCAATTTGAAGGATATAAGGGACCAACTTTAGAGAAAAAAAAAAAAAAAAAAAAAAAAAAAAAAAAAAGCAAATAAACGAACGAAGATATAAAACACGAGGCTGATCGACGGAGAAGTTTACTATTCACAAGCTATCTTATCAATCTTGAACCACGGTACACACAATTGTATAAGTATATTTTTAATATATTAAAGATACATTATTTTATGTAATGTACTTTTAATATATTAAAAATATACCTAATATTTATGATCCATACAATTATGTGAACTATGGTCCATGCAATAATTTACCCTATCTTATAAGGCGCGGAAATTTCGTCCAAACACATAAAACAATACGTTGTGAATTCCATTGAAATTTTAATTAGTTAAAGATGAATTATAGAATTATATGGAACAAATCATGTGAGAAAGAAATGAGAAAAAAAAAATGAGAAAAGCGAGGGAAGAAAAGGCTGCAAACACGAGGCCAGAGAACTGAATCTACTGTTATTCCTACCCGCCCCCACCCACCCTGTGCAAACACAGTATTGACTGACACTGTAACAGATGGAGTACAACTCTATAGTTACCTCAAACTGCAAAAGCCAATTCTGAGCTCCGGCGCCGAATCCTCTGTGAAGGTGATACGCCGGCGAACTTCCGTCCAAGCAATCTAACCGATGCATATCGCAAAAACACATATGACCAGAAAACGACATTAATCTACACGGTAGCACACTTTTGAAAACAAATAATACGATTTACTTTAGTATTAATGATTGAAATGAAAAACTAAAAGTAAAACTAAAAATTGAAGTATCGTAAATGTAACAGAGTACTATACTTACAAGCTCCGAAAGCCGAAGCGTTTTGAACCAGCGTCATGTTCACCAGAAGCCGCTCCTCCCTCACCGCCGGCGAGCAAATGCACCACGGCGTGGACGTTAGCAGAACCAAGCCATACACCACTATCGCCGCATTCACATTCATTGTTATTTCAGACCGTTCCGCTACCTCCGATCCAGACCGTGACGAAAGGGATTCTGTTCTTACCTCCTTGATGTTGAAGCTGAAAGTGTGAAATTAAATAGTAACAAAATAATCTGTAAATTTACAGAAAGGATAACGGAATGAGAACTATTTTCGGAGAGGAAAAGAGTGAAGAGACGGCCAGACGGGGACTCGGGAGACCCATTTCTATTCAATCAATTTTCCAAACGCGCGCGTATTAAAAGAATACTTTCCGGCTTTGAATACTTCTTCTCCTAAAATGTTTTTTTTTTTTTTTTTTTTTGATATTTTCTCCTAAAATGTTGAATCCCCAACGGGTCCCCACACTCGTGACAGGATATTTGGGAGGACGTAAAATAGGCTAACTCAATGACTCAGCAGACAATGTCAAATGACAGTACTCACAAGGAATTTACTCAATTTAGTTCTGGTAGAAACTTTTTAAAATAAGTAGATAAAAAAAAATTTATTGACAAAATGTCTTGAGTATCGAGAAAATTCTACTCATGTATAATAATTTGCATAACAAATTTCATAATACCATAATTATATTTTACTTACTTATTTTAACTTTATAATGATACAATACAAAATTAACTTAGAGCAACCCAAATTAACTAATGCAATTAAATCTACCGTATCAAATAATGTAAATGACAAGTAGAATGTCTAGGAAAGAGAATAGGATCACAAACTTCATATTAATTGTTCAAATATTACCATATTACGGAGTAGTATTTTGATATGACAACAGATGTCTAAACAAGACAAATGTACGAGTTTTATACACATAAGTTGTATTCAAGCAACGTCCCGTGTGATCCAAACACTCTCTTTGTGGATCAAACAGTTATAACGCACTTAACCGACCACGAGCCTCTTTGTCAATCCAACCTCCCCAACTTGGATCAACTAAATTTTACTAACCCCGAAATCGGTGACTGAGACTTTTATGGCATGAGTTGAGTTACTCATATCCAATATATTCATCAATTTCATCAATACTTTTAATAAAACTATCAATATACAAAATAATTTTAATATGTAAATTAGACATACACAATTAAATGAATCAAATATGACATAAAAGTAATACTACATCTCAATTGAACTTTTTTAAAAATGGCATGTCTTCATTTTAGAGCACAATACATCATCTTAGCTTTTAAAAAATACAAAACCTTTTTTGGAATTCATAAAAGGCTATAATGAGCCTTTGCCCATTAAATTATCGCACTCTTCATGTTGCCTGTTTTCAACAACTAAAGTTAGAAATTAAGTGGGGCCGGTGGGTGAGGCACTGGACATGTGACGGCGACGATGGGAGGCGACGCCGGGACCACACGGACCACCCCATAATAAACTTATACTCCGTATTATACACCTCAAACCGGATGATAAAAAAAACTTGTCGTTGTCATTAAGTTGTATGGAGAAGTAAATCATAACGTGTAATGCTATTCTCTCGCATATTTTTATCAATTAAGATTAATCTCTTATTTTAAAGAAATATATTAATGTAGTTTAGTTTTTATTTTTTATTTTTAAGATTAATGTATTTAGTTAAAACGTCAAAATAGAATATCTCTTTCTTATTTTAAGAACATCCATGTCAAACCCTTGCAAAAAGAGGTGATCGAGTTGGTCCAATATGAATATTATACCTAAATGTCTCGAGTTTGATTTTTTTTTTTTTTCAATATCTTTTCGATCGAGTCTGTAGTACATAATCTTTTTAGTGCAATTTATATATCTTGTGTGGTTCGCGAGCTATTACATATGAGCGATATTTACTATATACACACCCTCATGCCTCATTTAGTGATTATGGATTTTCTTCACCAGAAACAAAATTTTAATGTCAAAAGGGGAGCCTTTTAGACAGTGAAAAATATAGGAAAAATGCATATTATAATTGTAAAATGTATTTTAATAGGTTCAAATTTCTTAACAATACGTATGAATTGAACATCTAAATACCTTATTTTAAATTTTATTTTCATATATTATTAGCGAACGGATTAATCTCATCACAATATACTAAGAAATTTACATAAAAATAACTACGAACGTGAGTACGCTTTCACTCCTGGCCGGACAGGAGTACGCTTTCACTCCGATTGTCATGCAGTTGCTATGTACGTTGGTTTGGGACAAGTCCGGAGGTTATTCTTACCTTGGTTATCCTATACATAGTTGTGTTCTATTATTGTATTTTATTCTTTCTAGTGAGTTAGTTTTTGTTCGTCGTTTTGTAAATCAATTGGCTCATGTTCTCACAAACATGGTACATTCTGATCACGCAAATTATGCCGTGCAACCGAATGCACCTAGCAAGGTGCATACGGTTGCAAAACGGCGCCGTTTTACTAAAAAACGACACGGCGCGCACAAAATCAAAAAAAAAAAAATTGGATGGCCGTTAGCGGCGTTATTCATATCATATTTGGTAGTTTTGCGATTTTTTGGTAGTTTAGCGTTTTGATTGCAGTATACGTAAAATCGCAATCGCAATAGCGATCGCAGTCGTTTTCCTGATTTATTGTATGGATCTCATGATGGATGATGCAGTAGACCAGAGAGACGAGGCATTAGATCAGAGAGATGAAGCAGGCGATGAATTGCATACGGTTCCAGGTTATTTTGCAGTTTGATTTTTATGGATTTGTGGTCGTTTGCAATTTTTGCAGTGTGATATATTGTGTAGGTGTTTATATTTAGTGTGATGTTTATTGTGTATGTGATGTTTATGTGATTCTAGTCTGAGATCATTCGTAACTCTTGGTGTTTATGTGTTTATGGTTTTCTGAATGAACGAAATATATATCCATAATCTTTGAACTATAAATCCAGAAGTTGTGAGTTATATATCCAGAATTATAGTAGTATATATCAAGGATTTTGTGAATGGATACTCTGTTCTGGATTGTATATCCATAATTATTGAACTTTTATGTCCAGAAACTGTGAGCTTTATATCCAGAATTCTATCACTATACATCCAGAATTATAATACTATACATCCACAAATTTCTAAACTGATACTCTGTTCTGGCTTTTAACACTATGCAGTCAGTGAAGATGTTGTTGTTGATTCACCAAGTTCAGATCCAATAGAGTTAGACATTGATGGTTCTTCTTCTAATCCAGGTCTATATGTAGTTTTATATGATCATAATTCACAGTGTTCAGCATTGTTATATGTTCATTCTTTTTCCATGGAAAATGTTATTCCTTTTGTAGAGCATGGCTGGATTTATTCGGCATTCCCCGCACCCCCTCTACATAGGAATTATATTTTCAATGGAACGTGTATTATTTAGTATACTTGAGGTTATATATTGCATTTGCAGTTGATGAAGATTTGGTTGGTGTTGTTGTAAGTAACGGGGTTGAAGCGTATGAGTTGTATAACAATTATGCATATAGAGTTGGTTTTAGTGTGAGGAAGGGTAATCAACGGTGCAAGGTATATAGCAAAACAGTCCAAATGAAGATGTTTATGTGTTCTAAAGCTGGTTTTAAGGTTAAGGCAAATGCTGGTGTTAGGGCATATTCAAAAATTGACACAAGGTCAGGGTGTGGTGCATGTGTTCAGTTTGACGTCGGTGAGGATGGGTTGTGGACGGTTACAAAACATGTAAAAGTGCACAATCACGAGTTATGTGCTGTAGACAAGAGTCATCTTCTGCGTTCACATAGAAATGTGGGTGATAATCAACTGTTATATTTAAAAGATTTGAAGAAGAGTGGTGTTGCAATGGCAGATGGTATTAGGTTCTTGAAACATCAAGCAGGGGGGTCTCCATTAGTTGGCTTCACTAATCGAGATGCTTATAATTCAATTGCTTCTGATACATCAAAGCGTTTGGATGGAACCGATTCGAACTCATTAATTGAAATATTTAGGAAGAGGCAGTCGACTGAGTCTGATTTTTTCTTTGATTTTGAAGTTGATTGTGATTCAAGACTATGCAGTTTTTTTTGGAGGGATGGTCGGATGAGACAAGACTATGAGTTGTTTGGGGATTTATTAGTGCACGATACAACTTATCGCACTAATAAATATGATATGATTTGTGGCCCTTTTGTAGGGATGAACCACCATTGCATGAATGTAATGTTTGGATGTGGTTTTCTGATGAATGAGAGGATAGAATCATTTGTGTGGCTGTTTAGAGCATTTTTAAGGTCTATGAATGGGAAATGTCCACAGACTATCATGACAGATCAATGTGCATCCATGGCTGCTGCTATTTGTCAGGTGTTTCCAACATCACGTCACCGTCTTTGCATATGGCATATTGGCGAGAATTCGAAGAAGCATATCAAGGCGTTAAGGAATAACAAGGATTTCTTAGATATGTTTAACTGTGTGTTGAAATACACAGAGACTGAAGCTGAGTTTGAATTTTATTGGACAAGGTATGTCCACTACTTTTTTTTTTCCTTTTTCGATTCCAGTAATTGAATTATGGATGTTTAGTATTAGAATTATGGTCATATAGTATTAGAATTATGAATATATAGTATTAGAATTATGTGAACATGTTGTAGTATAGAATGGAACTTCTTGATTTTTCCTGAGTTACATGCATTTAATTTATGGATTTATAGTTTTGGAATTGTGAATATACAGTGTTAGAATTATGGACATATATTATTAGTTGTCTGAACATGTATTAGTGAAGCAGTGAGCTTCCTGTTTGTCTCTAAATTATATGCATGCAATTTATGGATTTATAGTATTGGAATTGTGGATATATAATATTACAATTATGGATATATAGTATTAGTTGTCTGAACATGTAGTAGTGAAGCAGTGAGCTTTCTGTTTGTATTATATGCATTCAATTTGTGGTTTTATTATATTGGAACTGTGGATATATAGCATTAGAGTTCTGAACATATATCTTATCATTTCAGGTTGGTGACTGACTACAAGTGCCACAAGAATAGTTGGATACAAAAGCTGTATGACTGTAGGGAGAAGTGGTGTCCAGCATTCAATAAGGACTATTTTTCAGGGGGCATTTTATCATCGCAAAGGAGTGAAACTACTAACCATTCGATTTCAAGAAGGTTGTCCAAGACTGCAGGTCTATGTGATTTTTATTCATCGTTTGTTAGTGTAACTTCTGAATGGAGGAGCAAAGAGAATGGTGAAGACTTTCGTTGTACTCAAGGGGTACCCAACATGATGATGGAG